TCTCTCTCTCTCTCTCTCTCTCTCTCTCTCTCTCTCTCTCTCTCTCTCTCTCTCTCTCTCTCTCTCTCTCTCTACCTGTTGGTCAGAATCATCGTTGTGCATGAAACGATTAGACTTATTCGATCCTCTGCAGATGCTATAGGCAGGACAAGGAAATCTCTCAAATCTCAGGGACGTATCGTCGACTGATGAATCACGATTTGTCAGCAGAATGTCTCGTTTCGTTAGAATTGCGCTGACAAAGGGTCGATACATAGCGATACTTTCCGCATCGCGTACGGTTTCCATCATTTCTAATCCCAGGTAGATTCGTGAAAAGCATTGCGCTGATGACGGGAATAACAGCTCACTTCCGCGGGCACGATGACACCGATGATACCGACAACGATTTCGACCAGACTCAGTGATTTTTCACGCCATTTCAAACGTCATCGTGCTACTTGAAGATCGACAATATTTGCTCTCGATATTAGTAACGAATTTCGTGATACAACTGTTCGTCCGATGGATCGTCCATCTTTGGCTTGTCAAAGATCGTCAAAAACGATGACTGATCTCTTGGAAAAATCAGTAGCTGTTGCGACAGACGTAAACGATTGATGCTGATAAAGCGAGTTATTGGAAATAAAGGTAAATATGCAGTACAACGTTCTCATCTTAGATTTTTTTCAAACTTTGTAAATTTGTATATTTTAAGGCGTAGAATTGATTTCTGAAAATGAAAATTGTCGTTCATTTTTCGTAATTTTCACTCATTTTTTTACCGATATCATAAAACATTAAAATAAAAAAATAAGAAAACGAAAAATGAGCGACAATTTTCGCTTTCAGAAATCAATTCTACATGTTAAAATATACAAATTTACAAAGTTTGAAAAAAATACAAAATGAGAACATTATACTGCATATTTACCGAGATAAATACTGAAGAAATATAAGAGGAGGAACGCTTCGTAAGAGAGAAGACGCAACGCTCTCGAAGAGAAGGTCCGTTTCATGGAGTATATCTTGCTGTCTCTGTTGTTGGGCGAAGCCGTATCCGCTACCTACGGAATGATGGCGAACGAAGAATCTCCAATGAATCCTCAAATATCTTCGAGAACGCGTTCAAATCCGTTGCGCAGAAGAACTAAGTAATGAGGCTAACATTTTATTCTTGAGAAATTTGTTCATGATAACTGAGAAATTCTCGACATTTTCCTGCTCTCGTTAATCTGAAGGCACCAATAATCGGGTGAATCATTTTTTAGATAAATTTTTCAGTTCAAAGGGGTGGCTTGACGGAAAACAGATTTATTCGAAATTACGTTCTCTTGCAGATACACATCAAGATGCATGAACAACGTCAATTCCGTGATATGAAACGAATCTGAACGAGGCAAACTGTAGACCGCGGTCGGCAAGGCACGATTGAGTATAGTTTGCACTTCGAAAAATTTATAAATACAACAAGCACTTGGGAATATACACGTCTTCTCTAAGCTAACTGTAAGAACACTAACACTACCGTCATTCAAGATCAATACACGCGAACGCACGCTCATTGTGTTCTACGATCGAACAAACGATACGACTAGAGACGCATTTCTTACGCTACATACATGTTACATTAAATCGTATACATAATCAAACGTTAAATGCGGAAACGCACACGCACACGCATATACACGCATGTTTCGAGTATAAGACACGCCTAGTTTAACGCATTGCGTTTAGTTTCTTGAAGAGCTTTCCTCCGTTCGACATTCGTACAATTACGATACAGTTTACTCTACAATTTGGCTTCGTGGCTGTTTCGATTTTTAATCCGCTATATTATCAATCTGTGTAAAATCGGCGTGTGTAAAGGATCTAATAAGAAGTAACCGAAGAAAAATATACTATATGACGAGCAAATCGTTTCACTGAAATATTCGCAAATAGATTCCCGTTGTCACACACATTTCCGCAACAACTCTGTCGAGAAGGCGTGCAGCGTCATGGTGACAAAGAGATACAACGAATTTTTTGCCGCTCGTGAAAGCACAACGTAAAGACACGGCGTAATATCTCCATTATGTACGAGTAGGACTACACAGACGGGTCTTTGTCAATCGCACAATGCACAGTAAATGTCGTGAAAAGCGCGTCGATTTGAGATACACGACAGTGACACGTACGAGTCCTCCCAAATTCGTCCGCGCAATGACCTGTTCCTTCTGTCATTTTAAATTCAAATTGCATCCGGACGCACATTTGAATTGTAATATGGCGGAACGCACACGTTAAAGGTGCATAGAAATCTGCTACATCCGCGCGATATACAAGAACACATCCGTTTAGCGCAAATTCGTTCGCTTTATCATAAGCGCAACGTTCCGAATTATATGAAAAAATAAGACAGATATTCCGTGATAACGCTCTGCACATATTTTACGTCCGCGTGTGTGGGAAAGATGTTTAATCTACGGCTTATTTGGCACTCGATTTCACAGCTTGTACGCAAAAATTGGTCGCGAGTTACAAGGTGCGATTCGCGAGCGTCCCTCGTCGATTCTAACGGACTCTTGAATGTATTGTCGATCAAATAAAAATCACAGACACGTGTCCTCTCACGTGTAGCTTTTAGCGCATTTAGAAATCCGGAGGATGATTTTGGAAAATAACGCCAATGTGACGCTATCATGACAATGGAGAGAACGCAAAGCCCGTGAAAATCGGCGAAGAACACTCGCATCACGTTTCCTCGTTAGAGAGGTGAAACACATTAACCGGGGGTCACTAGTTCGGGGTGGCACTCCTCGATCCGCAGGCGCCCTCGTTTTACTCTCAGGACGTACCATTTCTGATCGTCACTTGGGCACGCCAAGCAGCGCCAGCCATATTGTCCTGGAACAACGAACGATGAACAATATGATGGTACACATTGCACATATTGTTATCACGAGAATTTGTGATTTGATAGGCAAGGAGAGGCAAGGAGAGACAAGCGCCATCAAAGAGCCTGGCTAAAGACGTCCGTTCTCTTTCTCTCGTCGTTGATCTGTTTCTGATTAATCGCTGATTACCACAGCGAGTACAATAATAATCGATTTTAATCAGGCACTATCGCGATGGAGTCGTCTGGCTCCCACAATATTCCACCGGCAGAGATTACGTCTGGCGTCTCGAAGCGTCAGGGAAGTTGATTATCGCTCGGCTCGCCTCTTATTAATATTAATGAATATATTTAGTAACGTTATCTCACCTCGTGCGTGCCGCGGGTTCACCCACGGGTTCGTCGACCCTTCCGTGGAACTCGTGGGTGGATGGACAAAGTCTGCGACGACGAGAGACGATGAACTTTCTCGCCTTCACCTCCAGCGAAAGTAGATCACCTGCGGCAAAGAGCATATGCACACAATGAGAGCCGAGCAATATCGCACGAGACAAAACGATACGATATCACGTACTCGCGTCACGTTCTTAACCCTTTCGCTATTAGAGATTTCTCGAGACAAGCAAAGCGATACTGTTTTTCATTCGAAACAATGGACCCTGTTAATGCCACTCTGACGGAGAGTGTATCCGTGCTGCGGCGGACAATTTTGTGTGAGACAGATGAAGAAAATAGGAGAAGAGAAGCGTCATTTTGCGTCAGGGTTCGGGAAGTGTAAGCCGGACGGACTCACTCCCGAGCCCGGATCATTACCATCACCAAGTGGCATTAAGTGTGTAACGCGTAATGTGATGAGCCATGGCTATGCCGCGAGGAAGTGTGCTGACAAAGTGCTACTATAATCCTAAATAGGAACGATCCGCGAGTGTGTCGATGGATATCTTCTAATTAAGATGAACACTCGCGCGGAAGCGACTCCTCGAGTCGACTGTCCTCGAGTCGAATGGAGTAGAAGAAACTCGTCGGCCGGCCGTATACATACGCTCAAAGATACTAGGTAGATACGTGGTCGGTTAGCTTTCCTTCTCCTTCTCTTCCTCACCTCCTCATCACCATCCGCGCCTTCTTCTCCGCGACCTCGGTCTTCTTCTGTTCGCCGTTATTTTCTGGAAGCCGTCGCTCCGGAGAGAACACACGCTTTATTCCGCGCGATCCTTTATCACGAAGTGATTCCCAGCTTCTCCTCGAAATTACTACGTATCAACTTGGACAGACAGATAGACAGACAGACAGACAGACAAACAGACAGGGAAACATACACCAACTCTCGTTTACGCGAACACGCAAAAACTTTCCTCGGCATGAAAAACGGTATTACAGCGAAGACTTGTTAAGGCGACTTGTTACCGGATCCCCTTAAATGCCCGTTCCTTTTACTAGAGTTCACTTTTACAACGACTTGACCTGACGAGCGCCGGAAAGCTAAACGCAAATTTCCTGATACAGGACCAACGGGTGACTTCCTCGTCCGAAAGAGACGTCGCGGGTGAACCTGACACTCGCCGCCCTCGCCGTTCTCGCGGATCGTATCTTGCGCTCGTTACTCTTAATCCGCCTTTGTCTAACCTTCTTTTCCGAGTCGTTTTCGGTAAAGTCAATAACAACCGGTTCCCCGGGTTCACCAGGTGCCACCTCGTCTTCTTTCTTCTTTCCCTCCAAGGATACCAGCTATAAACACACGAAAGAGAGTATGCCGTGTATTTACTTTACAAGGAGGAGGAGAAGTCGATTTCACTCATTAGTTGCGGTCATTCACTATAAAGAGAGCAAATCCGATACGATTGCTGTTACGCACCGTGACGTTACATTCCATTGGCGTAGTGATACGCTGCTTAGCATCCTCCGCGTCAGCCGGACGTTGACATCGAGAACACTCAGCAATCATGTTGCTCTCATGCATCTCTACGGTTTGAGCAGCGCGCGTGCAACTCGTACTCTCAAGCTGATCTCGCGTCTTCTCCGAACTGTCCGCGCCTTCTGTCTCGTCCTTACTCTCCTCCATGCGTCTGCTTCTCTTCGTGACGACTGTTTCGCCTCCACATCCAACGGTGATCTCGTCAAGGCTGGACCTCACGTTTCGCAGCTCGTTCTCCAGCCAATACACTCTCTCTGTGAGTCTGTAGTTCTCATCCAGAAACTCCTCCTCCCGTTGCTTCGACAATCGCTTCTCCTGCTCCCGACTCTTCTCGGCCTCCTCGTGCGCCTGGAGCCTCTCCTCGAGGTCGCGAACGCGCTCCTGATAAGCCGTCAACTGGACTATCGAGTCCACCGTCGACATGTCCAGACAGATCTTGGACGAGTCGATCGGATGGAAGACCGGTGTCGTGTTCTTGGCCGCCCGTTCCTGAATCCATGTCCTCAGCTCCTGGAGACGCTGCACCTCCTGGAGGAGTTCGCCGGACGGCGCCTGTGTCTGAGTGCCGCGGCTGGCGAACTCGATCTCGGGTTCCTCGTCATCCTCGTACTCCTCCTCGAAGATACCGCTCTCCTGAAGGGTGAGCGGTGGCTTGTGCGGCAACACGGGCGATTTCGCGGGATTCGTCACCATGGCGTTGTTCGTATACGGTATCACAGTCGCCACCGCGCGACTCCTCTGCTTGTTCGAGTGATCCTGAAATATCGTCACGCTCAGCAAATAAGGAAACGTGCACGCACAATCGCCACGCTCACACTTGCATTGCCTGTCTGTCTGGATATCGTGGAGAATGACTTGCAAATATACAAATCTTTAAAAGATAACATTCTAGCAACTTTAATCCGGTTTGATAACAATCGTAGTCAGTGAGCTCTTGCATCCGATTGGTATCTATGTTCTTTTACGTTTCTTTTTTATCTATTGGTATTTATGTTCTTTTAAATCTAAAAGTATATTCCCATTATAAATGCAAGAGTTCACTAATTACGATTGTTACTAAACCGGATTAAAACTGCCGTGCAAACCTAGTGAATGTTACAATGGTATAAGACACTCTGAAAAAAATGTTTTGTTAGTTCTGATAGAACTCTAAATGTCGCGGATAAAATTTGTCGCTGTGTTTTGCATGTGCTAGAAAATTGTCTGTGGTACGTGGAAAGCAGAAGCATTCTAGTAATATCTACGGGCAAATTTAAATCCCATTGCCAATTATTAATCTGCTCTTAATTAGGATGAACGTCACAGACAAACTTTCTTATTAAATTTTACAAGCAGCTCAGATATATAAGATCTGTCTTTGTCACCCATGTTGACAAAACATATGCGATATCACAGGATTTACTAATCCATTCTTATTTTTTTTATCCATTCTTGGTTAATTTTTTATATCTAGATTTTTTCTAGAATTTTAACTGCAAAACCATTTTTTTAGTGCAGATAGAGTTCAATGCAATATTCGGAATAAGAACTCGCCGAGACTCACCTTGTTCGTGTGAGCTGGTTCTGGTGAGACGATGCCGCTGTCCATCGCATGATCGGGACTATCCCTGCGCGCAGGTGTTTCCTCCAGTTCAAGCAGCCGGAATTCCAGGAGCTCATTTTGCTCCCGTATTTCCGAGAGTTCCACCAAAAGTGTGGCCTCCCGTTCCTCGACGGTTCGCAGCTTGTCTCTCAATTCGCTCAACTCCTTGTCACGATCGGCGCATTTCTGTTTAATAGACGGACCTTGCTTACAGGCGCTCTTTCAGCGTAAGGATCGGAGATCCTTGACATCTACGTCAATCATCTTGAATTATGAGGCGAAGAGAAATACGATTGGGAACTCTTTGATCCGAATTTTACTCGGGATATCGTTAAGTAACTCATGTACATGCTTGCAGATCTAACAGATGCGAAAAACAGCGACAAAGCAGATATGCTGACTTAGCATGCCTAGATCGTTCCTCGCTTTCATGACGCCGCACAATCCAAGATAGTGACTCTCTCAGGAGGTCTTAAAGAGGATACGACGCTACCTCCTGCAAAAGTGCCTTCTCCAAATCGCAAACTTGTATCTTAGCGCGCGACAGCTCGCACTGCTCCTTGAGGAGTTTCGACTGTAAATCCTCGATCTCGACGAGAACGGCCTCGTACGCTTCTCTAGTAACACCGTTACCCTGCCACTGGCCGCAGCCACCTGGCTGGGGCGACATCGAAGACGGGGCGCTCGATAACGCGCTGTCATTCTCCTCGTGGTCCTCCTCGTCGTCCACTTCGACTACCGGCTCCAGCTCGAGCCACTGTTTGTAATATTCTTCCTTCTTCCTCTTGTTCGACAGTTGCTCCAACTTTCTTTCTCTTTCCTTATGTAACAGGAAAAAGCATTAGCTCTTACATTTTCTAAATTTCATTTTGGTCTCGCTGGTGCATCTGCCATTCACTTGGCAAAACAGATACAAGCTGATATTGTGGGAAAGACGTCAAATTTTAAGATGTTACCAAAAGTGATGTTACCAGTGCTTGAACACTAATAATACTGATACCTAACTTTGAACATTCTTAGGGCCGGTTTTTCAATAGCAGTTTAAACTTAGATTCAAGTTTCAACTCTATCTTAACAATGCGTTTGTTTTGTTTAAGTTAAAATCTAAACTATCGTTGGAAAATCGGCCCTAATTCTTTTGATTTTTAAATACGAATAAAGCAATTATGAGTCACATCAAAAGGTTGACTTTCAATCATTTACAAAAATGTATCGATGGGACATTAAAATGCATTGTTGATATCAATATAAGCAATTATCATATAATAATCATAATTTTATCATAAAATTATTAGATATTATATTAGTTAATTCTAAATTATTCACTACAGCTACAGAAAAAAATAATTAGAAACATTTATGCGCAAGTCCCAATTATGAGTCAGCAAATATTACGCACTCGTATAACGGGTTATACGATGCAAACTTGCACTAGGAAAGAATTTGCTCGCATCATCGAGACGCGAGAAACCGAGAGCGTATTTCCCCAATTTTCCAGCTCGCATCTACTTCACCTGAGGGAAGCTCCATTACCTTAACCGCCTGTCTAAGTATTTCGATGATTTCCTGCTGCTCAAGTGCGAGTTCACGGAGACGCTCGACCTCGATTTCGTTCATGGCTCTGCCGGATTCTACTTCGCGGACACACGACCCCACCTTAAAACGATACTTAATCTTGGCCTTCGTCGTCTTAATCTCGCGATAGTGTATATACATGTGAACAATATTATTATGTAAGGAACGATGTTTGTTTTGAATTATTAATTATAACGGTACAAGCGCGGAAGTTTTAATAGAGCAGGTTAAGAGAGTCGAGCTCTTGTAAAGGTTGTTGCGAGCACAGCAAGCACCAGGTGGACTAATTGCAGAAGTAAGATTGCTCGCGTTGAGAAACGGGTTTTTGAAAAAAGAGTAAATACGTACCGTATGAACATCGTTTGCGAGGATCTTCCTCTTTATACGAGATGACGAGCGTATCGGTCGGTTCCTCTCGTTCTCCCGTAACTTCCACATCTACAGCAACATCAGAATGACGAGTCGATTAATCCTTAACGGACACCTACGTGACCACCGCTATTTCGTTAATGAACCACCGTAACGTGCAATGTATCTTAATTTTTTTCTGCGCGCGAACTGAAGGACGCGGGTTGAATTTAGCCAAAAGAAAGGCGCCGAGCACGGATGAGACGGCGTCGTGGCGCGAAGTAGCACACTCGAGAAAACTTTTGACGGAGGAAAACCTCGCGATTGCTACTGAATAGCTGTTGGATGCACAGGGAAAGTGCAAGCAATCGTATGGCCGGAGATAGCGACTCTTCCTCCTTCTCGCGCTCTACCACTGAATCCGACTCGCATCGCACACTTGTCAGCGACGGTACCGGGAGTGAGGTGTGAAAAGGTGGATAAAAATCTAGCGAACGTCACGTCCTGCCGAGTGCCACGGACGGATGTAATGGCCGGGAGCTTCGGCTGGCGAAAGTGATCGGCGTGCGAGATCCTTTGACAACGCGTGTATTTGCGCTTCCGTATGTCCAAGCGCATTATCACGGAGCGAGGTGAACGCCTAGCCCGTTCAGCCCGACTCGAAAGTGCTACAAGTAACCGCGAAAGAGAACGCTTCGCTTTGAAAACGTAGCGGGCCGCTCCAAAGGCTCGTGACCGATTTCACTTCCTCGAGGCAGATAACGCTCGCGAACCTGTCAACGGCACTTTGAGCGCAACATTTTGTCATTTTTGCGTGAAATGATGATGAGAGTATACCTCGGGGCATGTTGTCCTGAAAAGTTTCAACGAATTTTTGCGTACTGAAGTGACGCACGAAGTTGAGCGGAAGATATTCTTTTGTTTTGAAATAAATTTCAATAAACAGCACCAATTCCCAGACACGTACTTAATCCTGGACATTCTTATTGTCTTGGTCTTTAGATGCGGATTTTTAAATTTTCAACATGAAATGTATATACATACTCAATATTTGTATATATATTTAATATTGAAAGTTTGAATATTTGTATTATGTAAGATTTACTTATACTATATAAGAATATTTATAAGAATTATGTTATTAGATTATAAGAATATTTGTATTATATGGGACCAAAACAAAAATGTCCAGAGTCAGATGTGTCCAGGCATTGATACTTTTATCTTAAAAATATTTCCGATTAAATCAGTAAAACATTTTACTGACAATCAATGAATATTCATTTTCAGTGAGAACACTCAGACTTTACTGCTTCATCTTATATCTCGCTGATTTTAACCCCAATGGAAGCAAGATTTCACTGCAAAATCTGTGCGAATTCGTTACACGCTGTGTCAAATTTAATTTTCTGCGGTTTTGGCGGTTGAATTCGATCGGTTTACATGCGATTTGGATGAAATCATTGTTTATATTTGCAATTTGCATCAATGATAGGAACAGTCGCTGCTACCAACCGATTCTTCCAGTAATATTGCACTGATTGCAATGTTATACTTTTAATTGAATCAACAGTTACGAGCACAGCATTTCAGTAAAGAATATACTGATTATATTACAGAGAGTAGAGTTTAAAAAATTGCAAGTCAATCAAGAAAATCAAACACAGCTCAATTTCAGATAATATGCTCAGAATTTCCTGCCTGAGTATAATCGAGACTGTGCAATCGATTCTACCTGAAAACCAAGAAAATTAATTAAAAATCGAAAACGTAGAATGCAATGTCTTGTGTCGGAAGTTCGTTTTCAAAAAGACAGGTCACATCATCGCGAGTGCGGCCATTAGAATACGAGTACGAATCTAACGGCGATTATTTCGGCAATTCGGTAATCTTCCAGGTGAGCAACATCACGATCCGACGCGATGTGTAGAACGAGCCGGAAAGTCGCCGGAGAAGAGCGAGGAAAGGGAAGGAGAGGAAAGAGAGAAGGGAGAGAAAAGCAGACGCGCCGCGCCGCTGTAACGATTGGGTTTATACGGAATCCCGAGAGTGTCTGGATGGACCGTTAGCTTGGCCCCCTGACATACAGCTACAGCAGCCTTTTCCTCCTCCTCTCGCCTCTCGCCTCTTAGCTTCCTTCCTCCTCTCGACACCAGCAACCTGCGATATGCCGGGTACATACACATACGCGGGAGATGTGCCAAGAGTCGGTTGCACCTTGCGCAGCCGGTGCGCGCGCGCGGCAAGATGCACTTTACGCCGTATATGTAAATCGCTGGAGCGCACGTGCGCTCGTTACACGCAAAGGAGTTTCTCCTCTCTTTCGATTGGACCGACGACTTGGATATCCGATATAAGACATATCGGGACAGGTGAAATGAGCGCGTTGCGCGTTACCGTTATCCGTACTTCACCGCTCGTCTCCGCTTGTCTCATTTCGTCCCAATATTTTTTTTCTCTTTTCTTACGTTTCTTTGATAATAAGGTAAAAGTATCAGTGCAGCCCGGACGCGTAAGATGTCCTAGTTCTAGGACACTCTTGTTGTTTTGGTCTTAAAATATAAATATTTAAACTTTCAACACACACATAAAATATATAAAATAAAATATATAATAAAATATATATATAAAAATATCAAGTATATACGTGCATTTTATGTTTTGAAAGTTTAAATATTCATATTTAAAAATCAAAACAATAAGAATGTCCAGGATTAAGCACGTGTCCGGGAATTGATACTTTTACTTTACGAGAATTTCGCGGATGTGCACTGTAAATATTTCGCAACTTTGATAAACGTTTGGTGTCGCCGATTCATACCCGAAACTGCGATTATTTTCATCAGCAAGAAGCGTGAAAATTCGATCAAACAATAATTCATACGATAATAGTAGGAATAAATTCGATTAGCTTAACGTCAGACAAAATTTAATTTCCTTTAAATGATTAATTTGTTGAGTGAAATGTCATTTTTCATCGCGAGCCTCCTCTTCCTTTAAATATCAATTAAAATTTTCATTTCCTGGAGAAAGTTACCTGATAAAGTGTACTACATGCGATTCGGGACGTGCAGATGTTGAAGTTCGCAGGTACACGTATCTCGAGTTGGAAGAAGAAATCTTCAAGAAATAATCAAGTCGCTTCTGAAAATATTTCGTGACATAGATATGTCTGAGAATATCTATGTTGGAGAATCGATATCATCGAAATGAAAAGAATTTATTTTACATATTTGATTTATGCTTTGCACAAGTGGCATCGCCTCCTTTTAACCGCGCTACATATTTTGTGATGCATCTTGTACACGTATATTTAGAAGTCTACTCATGATCTATTTGGATGCGAAAAAATCCCCCCATCCGCGCACGATCTGCGTAAGACTTCACAGCGACACGCTGCTGCGCCCTATCATGTTTTATGTTTATTTATAATTTGCGAATTCTCTAGAATTAAATTCACGGGACTGAAAACTCAGTTACTTTGTATAATTTCTCCTCTATGCAATGAGTAAGTTGAGTCAGTCCAAAGCAGAAAATCGAGCCGAATTTTTAGCAATAACGCAATAGATGGAGCTTTCAGGAAACAAATCAGAACTTATTATGTAGCTCCGTTAAGCTGTCAATAAGCTGAACGCATTACACGTGTAGAAAGAGAAACGGGGAGAAAACTAGTATTTCGCCGCATGCTAATCAAGCTGTCGAGTGGAAAAGTGACTACCACTATAATGTATATTTCCTACAAGCAGTAAAACGCAAGTACACCATTACAGTACTTTTCCTCCTGTTGTTAAACAGAGAGGAGTCGTAAGAAGAAAAAATGTCAAGTGTTACAACGCAAGGGCAGTAGAACGTCGGGAGGATAAATGAATTTCTCTTTATCAGGCGAGTGATATTCCGTGACGATTACGACGAATATGATGTATCCGCCCACAGAATCGGATCGCTGTGTAAACAGATCATACCAGGAGGATTACGTTTCCCGTGAGGTCCCCGCGAGCGATATCTCAACCCGACAAGTCCCGTCCCATTCCATCCTGTACGGTCCCTGTGCTCACTTTCACCGATCGTCTCCCGCCATCACCTACAACGAGCTCGTAACGCGTCCGCGCATTTCACGAATGGCTCTCGCGTGTTTCCTAAACACACTGTCCACCGTACAGGATCAGGCCGACTTCCTCATGGGACACCGGCTCTTCCTCCTCGGAGTCGCCTCTGAAGTCGCGACCGCGATTGCGATTTAAGGTTCGCGCACCTCGCACCCAAAGACACCAGACGTGCGCTCCTCGCGTGCAATTGGAGCAACGAGGCTGGAACGAGGCTTCTAATATCGTGAGGAGGAATTCACTCACGTGCGGTACCTAAGACTGCTCAAATTCGGGCCCGTCGGCAGCCACGTAACGCAATTCTCGCTCTCATTGCCGGCTCTAATTACGCTCCTGCTGACCCACTTGTCAAATCGAAATGCTCGCGTTATACCGAAGGACGTGTGCCGCTGTCGTGGGTGGGCGAGCGTATGTGTGCGCGTATATCGGCATTCCTACTATGCACGTTCGTTGTTTCCTACGCTAAGAAAGGAAGCCGTTAATTGCAAGATGGTATGCGTCACCGCTCAAGTATTATTAATAACACGACCGCGATGACGGATTGGAATTACACACTATCGCGCATGGGCGTGAGACTACACCAATACGCTCTCTCCCATACCCGCGCTCCATGTCGTTTTGTTATCCTGCACAGGTACTCATGCAACACCCAAGACACAACGCGCGGCTTGACCGCGAACTTGGGCTCGGGTGATCATCCCTTACGCCGGGGTTTCCCAGTGGCGGCCGTTGGATTATTTAACACGGAAAAGAAAATTGGGTGTTGGATTGACCAGACATTTGGTCTAGTTAACCAAATCTTTCCCTGCCTACGAGAAAAGTTACAAATAATAAACATCCTAAAGAGATGTTATCCGTCCAGGTGGTGTCGTGAAAGATAAAGAAACTTCTGAGGACTCTTTGTGCTCGTTATCATTCGCGAAGACGCTGATACGCGCATGAACGCCTGCTCTGTTGCCTGATCGATTTGCGCTTACTCCCGAAGAG